TGCTTGATTGTGGACCTACTGAAGAATTTTAAACAGGAGGTTGCCGTAAACAGGCTTTTAACTTAAAATATCACTTTGATAACATTGTGGAAGATGTGAGGTCAAGAATGGAGGCATAGAGTAATAATATGTAGGCTGTTGTAGTTGTGTAGATGTAAGATTTGGAATAGCAATTGGACATGAAGTATAGAAATATTTAAATAGAAAATTAATAGGACTTAGTGTTTCTGTGTGGGGAATAAAAGTAAAGGATTCAGCTAGCTACTTCCGTGTGGAGGAAAAAAAAGGAAAGGAGACATCAGGATGACTTCCTGCCCTCTCTTCCTTTCATCAAATTCATTAAATATTTGAGTGCTGTTTGCCAGGTATTCTGCCAATAGTCAGATACAAAGCTGAATAAGATAGTTGCATCTTCAATAAACTCAGTCTGGTGGGGATACAGCCCCATTGACAATTTTAAACCAAATGTATTCAGTCTTATGAGTACATGTTATCTAGGCAAATATTATAGCATGAGGCAGTTCTGTTCCCTGGAACAACTAGCATAATATAATCACAGTCATTGTGGGGTAATGCATGGTTTGTTCAGGGAACAACAAACAGTTCAATGCTGGACCAAAAAGTTTAAGGCATGAGAAATGCCAGGAGACAGGGTTGGAGAAAAGGCAAGTATCAGGTGATGAAGGTTCTTATATTTAATGCTAAGGAGCTTAGGCTTCACCCTATGTGATAGAGAGCCAAAGAGAACTAGAATGGTAATATTTTTGTTTGTGATTTGAAAAGGATATTTAATGATGTAGAAAAATAAAATGTTTTAATAATTTATCAGTATCAAATCAGAATAGAGTTATAAGATGCTATTATAAAACAATATGAATAGCATGATCTCATTTTGGTAAAAATAAACATAAAGGATAAAGGTTATACAGACAGATGTTTCTCAGTGTTTATATGGGTACATTTATTTGGTAACCAACTTTATTGAGATATAATTTACATACACTTAAAGGTATGTTTTATTGTATAGTTCAATGTATTTTGACATATGTATGCACATATGAAATCTACCACCGTCATCAAGTTATAGAAGGAAGCATCTATCACTCCACAAAGCTACCTCATGACCTTTTGCAGACAACAACCACCTCTTCCCCCAAGCCCTATAGACATCCACTGATCTGCTTTCTGTTTTACAAATTTGCCATTTATGGACATTTCATATAAATGGAATAATATGTAGTCTTTTGTGTCCGACTTCTTTTGCTTAGCATAATGCTTTTGAGATTTGTCCATGTTGTTCATGTATCAATAGTTTGTAAATTGCTGAGTAGTATTCCATTTTATAAATATCCTACAATTTGTTTAACCATTCACCTATTAAAGGCTATTCGGGTTGTTTCCTGTTTATCATTCTAGCAAGTATATAATGGTATCTTGTTTTAATTTGCATTTCCATAATGGCTAATGGTGTTGAACATTTTTCCATATGTTTATTACCATTATTCTATTTTTTTGTGAAATATCCAATCATTTTTTTCCATTTAAAAAATGAGGCCGGGCGCGGTGGCTCATGCCTGTAATCATAGCACTCTGGGAGGCAGAGGTGGGCGGATTGTTTGAGCTCAGGAGTTCGAAACCAGCCTGAGCAAGAGCGAGACCCCATCTCTACTAAAAATAGAAAGAAATTAATGGAACAACTAAAAATATATAGAAAAAAATTAGCCGGGCATGGTGGCACATGCCTGTAGTCCCAGCTACTCGGGAGGCTGAGGCAGGATTGCTCGAGCCCAGGAGTTTGAGGTTGCTGTGAGCTAGGCTGACGGCACGGCACTCTAGCCCAGACAAAAGAGTGAGACTCTGTCTCAAAAAAAAAAAAAAAAAAGAGATTGTTAGTCTTCTTGAGTTGTAAGAGTTTTTAATATATTCTGGTTACAAGTCCTTTGTCAGATACATATCTCAAGGTGAATATTTTGGTAAAAACAAGTATGAAAATGCATGAAGGATATATACCAAAGTGATTTTATTATACCTTAGGTATAATAAAAGTCCTTCCTTTTATTTTCCTTTTGGTTATCTATTTTCTGATTTTTTACATTTAACATATACCATTTCTATAATTTAAAAAATTAGCTTAAAAATGAAAAAGGATCTTGCCTCTGAAGGAAAACAGGGAAAAGTGTTGTAGCTAGAGAAGAATACAAGGTCAAGAGAGAGGGTATTTTTAAAGATAAGAGATTAGAGCATTGTTATAGACTAATGGAAAGGAGCCAATAGGATTTAAGAATAGCCTTTTAATTCCTTAGTTCTTTGTAGAAGCAGCACCTGATGATGTGTTGTTAACACTAGAATAAGTAACATCTGGGTTAATAGGTCACAGGAGTAAACACTTATGGGGGTTCTAAATGTCTTTAGAAGGGAAGATCTCGAAGATGTTTAGGAACTGACTTAATAGTGGAAGCAGGAAAAAAATGTCTAGTACAGAAAATTATTATTGCATTCACTTCGTACATTTTGTATACCCTTAGTATATTTGTAATTCAAAATTTGTCTTTCCCTCCTCTGAGTTGCTTTCTACAGCTATCAAAAGGTGGGAAAACACTCTGTTGTAAAAATCAGCTTTTAGTTTTCATACTATCATTGCTTTGATCTACTTGTGGTGGTAAAATTAGTTTATCCTAAAATTATCATCTCTTGTGTTTGGTAGGGGAATTGATAAAATGATTTTACATAGCCATAAAAGGTATGGAATTGCTGGGTTCCTGTTTTAATTATGAATTACTCTTATTTAATAAAATTCTATATGTGGATTTACTTCTGTATATATTCAGTAATGGTGGTAATTTTTGGTTTTGTTATCTGCATTATTGCAAAATAGTATTGTTGGTGAGCAATTGGGTTTGGGAATAGAAAGTGGAAGAAAATCAGAGGTATTGAGAGTGAAAGCACATAAAGTAATCTTTGGAGAAAAGTAGGCTGCAGAGCAAAATTTGTTCCCTTAGATATTTATTGTAGAAAAGAAAAGATTGAAAATAAATGAACTGAACATATAGCTCAAGTGATTAGAAACTAAAAGGGAAATAAACTAAAGCAGAAGAAAAGGATTAAGTTATTTAAAGAGCAGTAGATTTAATAACATTAGGAGCTAGTTCTTTGAAAAGAACAGGAAAATAGGCAAATCTTGGATAAATTAGATTAAGAGAAAAATACTAATAGCATTAGGAAACAAAAAAGGAGTATGAATGAAGAGCTGTAAATGGTAGGTGCTATTCTACAGGTGAGGAAACAGAGGCTAAAAAAATTCATCTTAACCAAGGGGAATTTATCCTAGGAAGACAAAAATTGCCTGACTTTGGGAATTTTCATGTAATCCACTATATTATGGTGATTGTTTCATTATGCTCATATAAATTTGTCTTGTTAGTCTGTAACTCTTGAAGTTGTCATCTCTGGGTTTTAAAGGTAGTTACATAAATGTGATTTTAAAGCTATAAAACAACAAGGTAACTATTACAACAGTTTTTTCTTCCCTTATGTAATCATTATTAGTGTATTTTATAGTATGTGGGAGAAACTTTCAAGATGGAAGTAGTTCATTTATAGGCATAAATACCAAAATCTTATCTAGTGTTTTTTTTAAATAAGAAATGCTGTTATTATCCATGATAATAATAGTAAGACAAAATTCCTTGGGAAAAAATGCATTCTAACTTTTTGCCCACGATTCTTTTTAGTGTGTTTATTTCTCACATGTATTTTTTATCATTTTAATTTGTGCTTTTAAAAAAACTACGCCTTGCCTAATATAGGTGCTGCTGATATTTCCTATAATCTGTCTAGGCAGAATAATCTTTATTTTTGTTCTGTAGGTACAAACTGTTTTGAAGCCAATCCATCAAAAGGAAGGACAAGAATTAACTGCTTTGCTGAGTGCTCCACATATTCAGGTAGAAAATGGACAGAGCATTATATATGTTGTTTTTGCACCGTTCTTCTTCTTTTTATTTTTAATCAAATTCTCCTATGTCTAGAACTTTTGATGTTTACAGCCCCTTCTGTAAAATAATTATTACTGTTGGATTATATATTCCCATATTTAACATTAACCAAATTGTTTCTGAAACAACTTCTTTTCTGTAAAAATTGGATCAAAATTCTTCCCCTTTTTGGTTATATTTCCCATAAATTTTAATTATCTAGGGTGTTTAGGCCTTTAAGTGGATATTTTGTTTTTATGGATTTTAATAAGCATTTTAGACTTTCATAACCCATTCCAGAATATGCCCTGATATACTTAACACATCTTTAGTTATTATTAGCTCTAATTAATTATAGCACTTTGAAAGATTTAATGATCAGAATACTATGTACATGATGAGGTTAAAAATTGCTGTACCGAAGTAAATCATGCTGTTACTTTAAAACACTATGGATTTCTTTGAAACAGGCACTTTTACTGGCCCATGATAAGGTTGCTGAGCAGGAAATGCAGCTAGAGCCCATTACAGAGGAGAGAGTTTATGAAAGCATTGGCCAGTATGGAGGAGAAACAGTAAAAATAGTTCGTATAGAAAAGGCTCGTGATATTCCACTGGTAAGTGTCCCACGTTGCTGATCTGAGATTCTTTCTACACAGAGATCTTGTGTATGGCAGATGGTTGAAGACCTTGCTACATTTCTGGTGGTTTCTCTCTCTCTCTCTTTCGTTTTTTTACAGACAGGGTCTTACTCTCACTCTTCAGGCTGGAGTGTAGTGGCACAATCACAGCTTGCTGCAACTTTGAACTCCTTGGCTCAAGCAACCCTCTTGCCTCAGCCTCCCAAGTAGCTGGGACTACAAGCATGTGCCCCCATGCCCAGCTAATTCTTTAAAAAATTTTTTGTAGAGATGCAGTCTCACTATGTTGTCCAGGCTTGTCTTCAACTCAGTTTTTCTCTTTTGAGGTTAATTTGTTGGACTTTTCCATGTTCTTGCTCATAGCCCTTACTCGGTTGAGAAAAATTTATTACCTTTTGTCACTCATAAATCGATGAAAATAATAGCTTGTAAAATATTTGAGGAACAAAGAAGAGATAAATATCCCTTGTTCATTATATTGTATCATTATTGTCCCAGCTTACTTTTTAGAACAATAATTAGAAATTCTGATGTTTTCATACAATTGTGTTTATTTTATTTTATTATTTTCTTAAGCTAGTCAAGTGAAGCAGTGGGAACAATTATATTTCTTGAAACACTGTTACTTCATTTCTTTTTTTTTTTTTTTTAAAGGGGTAGGGGGTTGTGAGGAGGGGTGTTCAGTGCCCTGTTTTTTTGTTGTTGTTGAGACAGAGTCTCACTCTGTCGCCCTAGGAAGAGTGCAGTGGCATCATTGTAGCTCACTGCAACCTCCAACTTCCTGGGCTCTAAGCAATCCTTCTGCCTCAACCTCCCGGGTAGCTGGGACTACAGGTGCATACTTCAGTGCCCAGCTGGGTATTTGTTTTCTTTCTTTTTGGTAGAGATGGGGTCTCACTCTTGCCCAGGCTAGTCTCAAACTCCTGAGCTCAAGCAATCCTCCCGCCTTGGCCTCCCAGAGTGAAAAGTAGGCATTTCTTAGTGTTTATATTTGTTTTAGAGTTTTTTTTTTTTTGAGACAAGAGTCTCGCTTTGTTGCCCGGCCTAGAGTGAGTGCCGTGGCATCAGCCTAGCTCACAGCAACCTCAAACTCCTGGGCTCAAGCAATCCTTCTGCCTCAGCCTCCCGAGTAGCTGGGACTACAGGCATGCGCCACCATGCCTGGCTAATTTTTTTCTTCTCTCTCTATATATTTTTAGTTGTCCAGATCATTTCTTTCTATTTTTTAGTAGAGATGGGGTCTCGCTCTTGCTCAGGCTTGTTTCGAACTCCTGAGCTCAAACAATCCGCCCGCCTCGGCCTCCCAGAGTGCTAGGATTACAGGCGTGAGCCACCACGCCTGGCCTGCATTTTTACTTTTAAATGAGATGTTAATTTTTTTTTTAGGGTGCTACAGTTCGTAATGAAATGGATTCTGTCATCATTAGCCGGATAGTAAAAGGAGGTGCTGCAGAGAAGAGTGGTCTATTACATGAAGGAGATGAAGTTCTGGAGATTAATGGCATTGAAATTCGGGGAAAAGATGTCAATGAGGTTTTTGACTTGTTGGTAAGTTGACACAGGTAGAAGAATAATTGCTAGGTTTTAAAAAGCTATTATTGGACTTCGAATAAAATATTTTTAAAACATTTAAAAAATACCTGTTAAGAGTACTAGACAATTTCCAGCCCATAATTGTCCCATGAGGTAATCATTCCACAGTATTTATTAATAGTTTTATTTTGGGGTGGGTACCACTCATTTTTTTTTTTTTTACTTTCTACTTTATTACTAGCAGGTATATTTTATTTTTTCTGTAATCAGTTATAAGTCATTAATTCATTCAGTAAATATTTATAGAATGCCTACTATGGGCTAGCCACTGGGGAAATGGTAACAAAACAAAGTCCATGCCCTCCTGATTTTTGTGTTCATTGTGTTTTATTATTATCTGCAATTGATTATTATTTTCCTAATAATATTAGATAATGGCAATGCTATAGATCTGTTGTGTCCAATATAATAGCCACTAGCTGCATATAGCTATTTCTATGTAAATTGAGTAAAGGGAGTTGAGTCCAGTCTCTGTCCCCCACTGCAAGACCCTGTTGCAGTGGTCCCTATGCCAAAAAAGTTAATTAAGTAAAATTTAAAATTTAGTTCTTCATGTACACTAGCTGTATTGCAAGTATTGAAGAGAAATATGTAGCTAATGGCTACCATATTAAGGTGCAGATATAGCATGTTTTCATCGTTGCAGGAAGCTCTGTTAGATAGTGCTAATGTAATCAGGAAGTTATTTATAGGCATTTTTTGAGGGCAGTTTTTGATCACTTTGTACAAATCCATAGACTAGATTTATATTCTTAATTACTTGGCATCGGTTGTTACATTAGAATCTCTGCTATCTGGTGATGTCTGTTATAAAATCTAAAAAACATCTTTATAGCTTTATTTTCATGCAACCCCATTCATTGGATTGGTGGAGCAAAGTATCACTGGTCATCATATTTAGCTCTTGTTTTATTGGCTACTATCTTTAAATTGAGCACTGTTTCCTGCCTTATCATTACTAGAAGTTGTGTTGATTACTCTCTAGGGTGGAGGTTTCTGAACAAAGCAGTCAGTGTTATACTGGGAAATAATAGTGAACCTAGCAATAAGACTTGAAACAGTTAAAAAATAGAATGGATGATAGAGGCAAGTCATCTGGGAATTGAGAATATTTGCATTGCTTTTCTAGTCCTAGTCACAATTACTTTTGCAAATTCTGCATTAAAATCGATGTATGTCAGAGTAGATAACCCATAATTTTTATAGTACTGTGGCATCTTTCAACCCTTCAATGTGGAATCTTCCTAAACTTACAATGAATGTAAGACAAAAACCCAAGACCTGTGGTCTGAGTGGCTTCCACAATGGGGCAGAATTGCAGAATGCCATATTTTAGGGTACCAGTAATATAATGGAATCTTTGAAAAACATAATTTATGCTTCATGATGAAATGGGATTCATCTTTACCAAATTTTTTTTAAGTCTATGTAAGGTTTCCAGAATAGTCCAGTTTTGGAAATATTTATCATAAAATCATAGAATGATTTTCATAAACATAGATTTTTAAAATAACCTCATCTTTCTATTACAGTCTGATATGCATGGGACTTTGACATTTGTTCTGATTCCCAGTCAACAGATCAAGCCGCCTCCTGCCAAGGAAACAGTAGTAAGTGATTTTTTTCTGTTTATTATTTATTTTTCCATGGCTACTGTTTATTTCTGTGTATCAGAAATATCACTGTAGGCCAGCACAATGGCTAATACCTGTAATCCTAGTACTCTGGGAGGCCAAGGCGGGAGGATCATCACTTGAGGCCAGGAGTTTGAGACCTGGGCAACATAGTGAGACCCTGACTCTTAAATAATAAAAATAAAATAAT